ATAACTCAGCCTTTAATCCAAACAACAAACACTGACTTTCAGGCAGTCTAGACCAAAAACATAACAAAACTGATGTTATAAACGTCAATACCACACAAGAGGGGGGGTGATTTGTGTGGTACCTAATTTTCGCGTTAGAAGAACCTGGTTCTTCTAAGTGTTCTAACTACAGCAGTTTGCGGAATAATAAATACTGAAAGTAAAGTGCACAGAGATTTTTACGTGGAAAACACCTGGCTCAAAAGGTGAAAAAACCACGACCTACTACTCAGTAGGATTTTCCCAAACTCCACTAAAATCACTGAGCCAAAAACTGCATTTACAAAACTCTTTGTAAACCTAAGGATTAACTCTAATCCCAGTGTAGCACACAGCCTCAACTGTTGCGACACTTTCAAGTTAACTCTAACTTGAATACTCAATGCACCTAATACAATTGCTTCTAAGAAAGCTGGAAAGGTACAATGTTAAAACCCCTACTACAATTGAACTAGAAATAATGAAAGACACAATGGAATTGGTTCTTCACACTTAGTTCTTGTAGCTTCAGATTTGCACACTTGTATCACACACAAATTGCTTGCAACAATCGCCTAGCTCTTTTGCTCTCAATTTGGCTTAACTTCAGCTTATGTGCAATCTCTTGTAAAAGAGAACAATCGTTATATTTATAGAGTTAGTAATCAGAGTTTGATAAGAACTCGAATTGTGGATCCTTTGACAATTCGAGTCCAAGAACAACTCTAACTCCTAATCCATATTCTTGATCCGGATGTAATTCTCTTTTCATAAGGAGACTTCAACTCCTTATCCTATATGCAATCTTTTTCGATCAGTTCAGAAGATATTCATCAAGATATTGCTGCTTGATCTCAAGGACTTATCTTCTTCACGTGCATCTCATGTGTATGGGCCATAACAACTGTGTCTCCTTAGATGAACCTGGTCCTTCACTAAGTTCGTTTGTCATTCTTCAAAACTTCAACTGATCTTGGGCCAACAAGAACATGGGCACACAACACAGAATCACGAAAGAAAAAATATAAATGAAGAAGAAATGAACCTGGAATCAATAAATACTTCCGATTAACTTTGCTCGAACACTAGTTACAACCGAAATCCAGAAGCTAATATCAATCCGAATAGCAAACAGAATCGAGTAGAAATCAAAACTTTGGACAGCAACAAAACTCCATCAACTCTCAGTCGAGCATCATTTTCAAACAGCCTTCATCCCAGAAAGAAGGAATGAAATATATATTTTTTGATTTTTTCTTTGCTGAACAGTAATCGAAAATGAAAACAGATCTTTTTTAAAGGACAATGATTGTTTTTCGAATGTATATCTTTCTCTTGTTCTGAAAAAAACTAAAACCGGACTCAAAACCAAAAATGAAACAAAAGAAGAAAAGAGAAACGTTTAAACCCTGACTTTCTGCTTTCAATTTCTTTCCGAAAAATTCTCTCCCAAAATCCGTCCCCCCTACAAGAAAAGAAACTCACCTTATATAGACTTCCCCAATTCTCGAAACTTCTGCCTTCCTCACCACGAAATTCCCACACACCGAAAATTCTCCCCCAAAACGAATTTTTCCCCCGTTTCTGATGAGAGAGGGACAAATGGAAGGCTTAGATTAACGTGAATCTAATCTAACGCCCCCCATTTTTCTGTATATCATCCAAAAGGTGAAAAATCCGAAATAAAAATTGAAGAGAGCATGTGAGGGAGAGGGAATCTGTCAGAAACCGTTACAAATGGTGATGAGGAGAGAAGTAGGAACACGTGGTTAAGGGTGTGGAATCACTCGCCATGGATTTAGGCTGAAATGAGGCTGGATTTGATTTGGAGAAGAGGAACAGTCGCGTGGTCTTTGGGATTTAGGGCTCGTGTTCATTTTTCTTGTGTTTAATCAATTAATTAGGAATGGGTCGGGTTTGGGCATGGAATTGGGGCGGGTATCAGGGGAATAAACGTTGGGCCTGGGGTGGAAGAATGAAAGACTGGCCCAACTCTTTTCTTTTCTATTTCAATTCCTTTTCTTTCCAATTTTTCCCAAAAATCCTTTTCCTTTTTTCTCTTTTTTTTTAATTAACATCTAGATTAAATCCTAAAACCTAATTAACCTATCAAAACACTAATTAAACCCAAATAGTAATTGCCATAATTAATAAAGGAACACTAACTGAAAGAAAACACAAAAATTAAAAATTAAAACCAAAAGTGCAAGTTAACTATTTTTATGATTTTCCTTTTTATAAAACAATTGATTTTCCAATTAATCCTAAATGCAAAAATGCAAGATATTTTTGTATTTTTTATGAATTAAAATGCACAAACCAAAAATGCAAACAATTAACAGAAAATGCCACGAAAACACACAAAATTGCAAACACTGAAAGAAACTATTTGTTTTGAGTTTATGGGAGTAATTCATGTAGGGGAAAAATCACGTGCTCACAACAGCCCTCCAAACAATTGGGCCAATTTGACCCAAGCTGACATTAAAAAAGCGACAAAAATCCAGAATAACTGGATCAATGGCTGGTTTAAACCCTAAAGTAAAGGGATACGTATAAACAAAAGAAAATCCAATAATGTAGGAGGTGATTCTCTGATTTGGATTAGGAATGATGATAGGGAATCATCACTCCAATGACAATCTCTACGAACTATGGGGATTAAAGGGTCAGTAATTTGAGAAGGATAAGTATCAACTCGATTTAAAGAGGCGACTTGAGTTCTGAGAGATTCCCTGTCATGGTAAAAAGATAAGTCCGTTGGAACTATTTCTTCCACTAAAGGTTCGCGTAAGGGTTCAGAGGATTCTTTGTTTCTGGAAGAAAACCTTTGAGAATGGGAACCTCCAGTTTTAGAAGAAGGGTCAGAACTAGAAGAAGGTGTGAGTGAACTACCACCACGGACAGATCCCAAACTACAGAATCTACCACCACCACCTCTTCTATGCCTAATGGGAGCATTGGGAAAGCTGTCTAAAATAGGAGTTCTTCTAGGGTTAGGGTTCGGAGAAGCCATGACAAAGGAGATTGAAGTGAAGAAGAAGTGAATAAAAGTTTTGAAAAATTAAAGTGTTCAATACGCTTTAAATGGTAGAAGACAAAGATAGAAGTTATATTTATACCGATGAATGACCGTCAGAAGGAAAGAGTATAGTGATGGGAAGTCCATAATAATGATAACTGACACTTCGTGGACAGGGAAGCCGAAAAGAAAGCCTAAGAAAGTGCTATACAGTTGTATGACCAATAAGAAGATGACACGTGTTTAGCGCATTAAATGAAAGTAATAAGTGAAGCGTCAAACTCTGTCAAAGCATTAATGGTGACAAAAATTCTCCCTTAAATGAATTCCACTTCCCAAATATTCAAACTGATGAATAAATGAAAAGTGGGGGGACTATCTGTATTGGGGAAAATTATATTTATGTATATGGTGACGTGTCATGACGTATAGACTGGTCAAACAGTCAAAGAAATAAGGTTGGTTAACAGATACGAGCAACAATAGATACGAGTAAATTAAATGGAGGGGGTGCGAGCAGTCATACAAGTAATTCAATGCTCGTACCTATTCAAGACATTTGAAACTCAAAGATAGTGAAGAATCAAAGGAATGAATCTAACAGCAAAAAGGAGCCCAGATACAGCATTTAATGAGTATTAATTATTGGAAACGTTAGAGAATATGTATTTAATGTATATGATTGCATAACGTAACATTTAAAGTCATTTGCCCATAATAGCATTATTATGACAAAGGTAAGGCTCGTATCCCAAAAAGAGCTATCAAAAGGGAAGAAACAAACAATTGTAGGTGGAGGTGACTATTGGAATATACTTTGATTTACCAGCTTTCATACTTGGTTACTCTAAAATTTCTTTCTTTATTTACTTTTTCGATTATCAGTAACCCGATTCTTCTAAATTCTAATTTTGACTAAAATCCTATTTTTTGGTTAAACATACAATACAATAAAATTTAAATAATAATCAAAACAAACAGTGTATGTCAAATAAAAATACGATACAATACCATAGGTAACAATCATCCAAACAAAGCTTGTCACAGACCTAGTTGAAGAGAACACTTTGAACAAGTTGAAAAAGAAAAGAAAAGAAAATGTCTCTATGGCGCTTTATTGAAAGTTAAACCAATAGCCAAAAGAAAAGTATACGACTTTAGTAGTAAAAATAGCACGGTCTAACTAGTTTTCGGACTGGTCATTAAAAAATAGCCAGCGTTTACCAAGTCAATAAAAAATAGCCACTATTTTGCTGCAACAGAGACCGGTCCGGCATAATATACTGGAGTTCAGTGCACCTGTGTATGAACTTCCAGTATATTATGTTGGAACTCCAACACACGGAAAGTTCCAGCATAATATATTGGAGATTCGAGCACTTGTGTATGAACTTCCAGCATATTATACTGGACCAGTATACTTTGCTGGAACTCCAGTATATTATGCTAGAGTTCTAGTGTACTTATGCTGGAACTCCATCATATTATGTTGGAGTTCCAGCATACTTATCCTGGAACTCCAGTATAATATGCTGGAGTTCAAGTATACTTATGGTGGAACTCCAGCATAATATACTGGCGTATTTTCCGGATTTTGAACAGTGTTTTCGCTCAAATTTATCTTTACATGAAAAGTGACTAAATTTCGATTACTTTTGAAACTGGGCTATTTTTGAACGACCACTTGTAAATCTAGTCATTTTTGAATTTCTCCCACTTAAGTAAAACAGACCAAATGAGTTACATAGCAATCTTATCATTCGCATACCATGTACAGAAGGAGCTAAAGAAAAGCTGAAAGTTTGAAAATGCATGAATTCAATCCCTCATGACCTGGTGTATTTATTGCTTTATGCTATACAATGCAAGTTCTTCGTGATCAACTAATTATGAGACGACATGTGTATCTCTATTGATTTTTGGATATCACTAATTAATCAATCACCATATTAGACAATTATCGGCTTCACATTACATTAATTAAATAACTATCATCAAAATTTATGATCAACAAATTGAACCTGAAACTGTCATTTTCCAAGAAAATGTCACTACAACAACTACAAGATCCATAAACTTTACTCAAAAAAATTTTGGTACTCAAGAAAATTGACAATACACTATGGTACAGACTTTTGCTTTTAGTTATAGATGATAGATTTAAAACGAGGATTCAAGATACAGAGTCAGATGCATCAGGAACATCGTCCAGGATGAAAGAACCTAGTTTCCCTGTTCTAAATAACGTAAGGAATTTCTTTGATACCATTATCCGAGCCTCTGAAGCCTTATGAGGTATCTTTAGAGCCTTCTGCAATGCTTCAAACTGGTGGTCTATTAGAGTTTCTAGGTCATTTTCATCTTCTAAACTACCATTGAACTCCGAGTGTGTGATGTAAAGTGTGCGTTGGACTTCACTAACCATATCCTGTGCACAGAAAGGACCCACGTAAAAACAATGGCAACCAGAAATAAGCAAAAAATAAAAACACAACCAACGCAGATTGATAACGAAAAGCTTTTACTAGGCAAATCAGCACAGTTAATTGAGTTTGTTTTTCACATTACGAGGTATGGAAATACAGTAGAGTTCTTAAGAAAACCAAATTATAAAATCATTTTTAACCTGAACACGGTAGACATCAGATTTGTTGATGGGCTTCTTGCTCTTATTCAGAAGATCTTTGATTTTAGATTCAAGTTTCTTGTCCAACTCAAGGTGAAGGTCCTCAGTGTCCCTGCCAACCAAGTGCTTCCAATGAAGAGGAGTTCCTCGAGTGTTTAACACTGCTAATAAGTACTGAGCAATTCGCTCTTCACCCACCACAGAATCTTTCACGGACCCTGCATAAGCATTATACATTAAATATGAACTGCAATTAATATTAGACCGGAATAAATTACTACAATATTGTCAAGGATACTGCTTCAATTTGGTGACCCGTAGAACTTTGTATCGCAAACCTGTTTCTCCCACCTTGAACTCGATATTAGTTCGTAATTTATGTATTTATATTTTATACAATTTGATGTAAGTGATAGAACTTAGGGAATTTTTTTGGGTTGTAACATAACTTCAGAATTGATACAAGAAAAATTTCAGGTTAATCAACGTAGGAAAGCAAATGGACCAACTAAACCAGTAAACCTAACTGGAGCTTTTCTAATGTATCTGACAGAGAAATGTAAACGCCAAAAACTAACTTCATGTAATCATTTGTTTCCTTTACTTGTGCTTTGGAGCTATAGAGATGGTGGGAAGGGAGGTGATTATGCAGGCTAGAAAGGACAATAATCATGCCTATCAAGTACTGCAACAAAATTAGTTACAAGATACGAAAATATGATTTGTTAGGAAATGGCCTCCCTCATAGGGCACAAGAACCGAGAAAATTGCTCCTGGTAGGCAAATGGATCTCTCTATGTAGTGGCCAGCTCTTTGCCATAAGCGATTAGTCTTTTCAGAATTGACCATTTGCAGGCCTCAAATACTAAACATAATCACAAATTCAAGATTCTCAGTAGGATAAGAGAACTTTGAGGACAATTTTATAATCTACAGTTCAAATAGGTACATACCTGCAAGAGCCAGCTTTAGCCCGGTTTCTATATCTGGGATACTTGGAACCAACACTCCTGGAGTGTCCAGCACATATACGCTGGGTCGATGTGCAATCTGTATGCAATAGCATTTTAGCATCAGTAAGAATAACCAACAAAACAGCAACCGATAAAAAGTGATGCTAAGTTAAAATAATCATGATATTGTGTAAAGTCCCGGGAGCTCATGGATGTATGGATATAGACATGGGAAATTCAAATGATCATTCAGGAAAACCGAGAATGCTATGCGTTCAACAGTTAACAAGAAGTTTTCAAATAAATTAACTCTTGTCACCACATATTTAGTCTTCCACTTCTTCCAGTTGATTAAAAGTCACTACTGAATCTTTCTTTTAGAAAAGAGATAAATAATAAAGACGGAATCAACAGAACAATACTTAATACATATGAATGCAATCTGAATCTCAGAGAAGGTAATCATGTTTTCCTGCTAGACTAGTGACTTTAGTGTCTAATATACGAATGTACCCCCACAAACGCGTTTTTTTTTTTTTTAATATAACAGTGGAGTCCGAGCCAGCTCGTGTTTGTAGAACATGGGAGCAATCAACTTTAGCCATCACGGAACAAGCAACAACAGCAAAATCTGACCCTCTATGTTGTTGAATATTTCTAACCTTGAATCCAGCAATATCTTGAGTAACACCAGGCAAAGGCCCGACTCTAGCCTTCTTCCTCTTCTCCTGCACTAAGATCATAACCATCAATAGACAGTACACTCGATAACATAACCACTATCAGTTTCCTATAACAGCACCCAAAAAGAATCGCCAACAAAAACAAGCCTCACCTGGAAATCGGGATAATGCAATTTGATGGATGGAGTTGATTAGTGCTGATTTTCCAACATTCGGAACACCCAACACCATGACAAGGAGAGTAGGTTCCCTTGTCATAACCTCCTTCAGTTTGAACTCGACCAGATCAAGAAGCTTTGGAATATGAATCATAGAGATTTGGATTTAAAACTCTCAAAAGAGATGCATATTGCCAACCTATAAAAAATTCTCAAATTCCTTGATCCAAGATCCAACTAACTAGATGTTTGAATGCACATATGTTGTTTAACAGCACAGTTTCAGGCACAAGAAACTGGCATCCATTTGTTCTCAAGGCAAATATATTTGCTGGAGTAGCCACTAAGACTCTTTAATTAGGATTTTGCCTATCTTTTTTGTAGTTTTCCTTCTTACTTTTGTTGTTTCAGTTTGTACTTTCCCATGACTACTTTTTACAATTGGGAACTTTAAGATTCTTTTTACAAAAGAAGTAGCACCATCAAGCAATGCAATCAAGAATAAAACGCATCAGATAACATGTAGGTGAAGAAAGCTTTTCAATTTCTTCTACTGTAATTTTACAGAAGGTACAATTTTGCATAACGATCCTTCATGAACAATGCCAACACTAATTAATCTTAACAGTACTAGGCACCTTTTTGGGGTTAAAGGGCTTAGATTTTGGTTTTTCGGTTGCACGAATATATGTTAACACAACTACTATAATGAAGACCGCTCGCACGTGGTGAGTCATAATTCTTTTTGGTTATGAACATCCTGCTTGACAATCCCGATTCATTTTCTATTTAGCATGTAAAGCATGATTAAGAAAGTTCTCTAGATATACTAATAAGAGAAAAATTCATCTATGCATTGCAATTTGCAATCTATTATTATGAAGAGAAAGATTCAAAAAGTAACTATGATTGCATCACTGACATGTGTACAATACCAAGCTATGAATCACGAGTTTTCAGCATAACCAGAGGACGGAGAAAAGGATGACTAACCTTTTGTACAGAACTTCTACTGTGTGCATTTATTGGGAGACACTCTTGTTTACATGAATTGAAATAACTAATCCACCCCTGCATGGAATGAAAACAGAAGTTTCACCAACTAAAATTTGAAAAGCCAACACCAACTAGTTGTAGGTTCATATAATTCCCAAAAAGTATTCCCTAAAATAAGCCAAAGTTTCGAAGTTGATAAAATAAATAATGTCAAAATAAGTTGCATTTTAATAGCGACTGTTGAAATACTTAATGTTAGTGACACTACCATTGAAAGAGCTAACTAGTAATATCACAGACGCTAGCATACTTTAGACTACACAGCTTTGAGATTCTTAGTACAACTAGAGCATTGTTAGAGAAAACATAAAATGCCAAAGAGATAAGTAACTGCATTGTCTTTGCCATGTGCTAGCAAGAGTATATCATACGATAAAATAAAATTTCTATTGCATTCGCCAACAGAAAGCATATGTTAATACATACATGATCAACAGATGCAACTTTAGGATGGTTTGTTAAGGTTCTACTTATTCTTGCTAGACCCTCAGTAATTAAGTAGCAAATGCTGCACTGTCTTTGGACTTCATAAAGACAATTTAACTTAACCACCATAATCATTTCAGAAAGGTAAAAGGAACAAGATTTTACAGACAATGGATAATCAATATATTCTTTCCCTAAAAGAGACTCAAACTTTGAAAAGGAATTAACAATTAGTAATACAAGAAGATGAGAGATAGAAAAATAGGTACATGCATGAGGTTGCGGTTAGCCAAATCTTGCTTATTGAGGGCAATGACTCGCCTTTTTCCAGAAAGCAATGGCTGCAAGTCTTCGTTCGCCGAAGACAATGGTATCTGCACACACACACACACACACACAAAAATAATTGGACCAAGAACAGCAAATTACTCACCAAAACATGTACTATACATAATCAACAAAAGAATATAGTACTTGAATTAACATACACGGGCATCACGGACTTCAATGACAAGGTCAGAGAGTTTGAGGCGTTGGCGAATAGCACGGGTAGCTGCAGCCATGTGCCCCGGGAACCAATTGATGTTTCCTCCACCTTTGTTGAAACCCATTTGCCCCAACCATCCTTTTCTCACTGCCCCCATCTTTCTCTTCTTCTTTGCTTTGCTGTGTAAAACCCTGAAGCTTTCACTGTGGAAATATCATAAATATCATAACCCCTCTTCCCTTTTTCCATGTAAGGTGTGTTCTCTTTCTTTTCTTGGGCCTTTTCTCAATAACCCAGAAGGAATACTGTGAGTCAAAGAGAAAGCCCAGTTAAGATGAAGCCCACTGGGTTTCCAACAGATTAGACCCTTTAAGAAATGGGAACTTTTAGAAATAATTATTGTTTGGAGAAAAATAGCACAGGCTAGCCAGTTTTTAGACTGGTAATTGAAAAATAGCCAGCGTTTGCAAAGTCATTGAAAATAGCCACTATTTTGCTGCAACACAGAAAGTTCCATCATAATGTACTGGAGATTGGTGCACATGTGTATGAACTTCCAGCATATTATGATGGAACTCCAACACGCGGAAAGTTCCAGCATAATATACTGGAGATTGGAGCACCTGTGTATGAACTTCCAGCATAGTATGCTGGACCGGTATATTATACTGGAAGTCCAATATATTATACTGGAATTCTAGTATATTATGCTGGAATATTTTCCGGATTTTGAACAATGTTTTCGTTCAAATTTATCTTTACATGAAAAGTGGCTAAATTTCGATTACTTTTGAAACTGTTGCTATTTTTCAGTGACCACTTGTAAATCTAGCTATTTTTTAATCTCCCTTGTTTGAAGGCTTATTGTTGGGCGTAGCTATAATTTAGTTAAGGGTTAATACCCTAAAACCCCCTTAAACTATCACATTTTTGACAATTTTCTACTTATACTATTCGGTATCCCCAAAACCCCCTGAACTATATTGTCCTTCATATTAAAAACCCCTCGTTGCTGATCTAGCATAACGTGTGTAAATACTCGCTTGGAAGTGCATGATAGCTGAAAAAGCCATCAAAATGGCCCACATGACAGAAAATAATGGCTAATTAGCCTAACGATCTTTCAAATTTATTTTTTTTATAAATATTCTCCTTATTTCAGTTATATCCACCTTTCTTCCTCTTTTTTTTTCACCATTTTTCCTTATTTTTTCACCTTTCTTCTTATTTTCTCACCTTCTTCTTCATTTATTCTCTTGTTTTAGTCTTCTTTCATGTCTTACACATATTGTTGAAAGAATACTAATTTAATCTTCTAACTAAATTCAACACCTTGTAGAGAATAAAATTGAATCTCTTGAACTTTCTTTATGTAATCTGGAACTAGGGAATATAATTGGTGGCCAATTGATTTCTTATTTGCCAAATTTTATTTTGTGTTACCTTTTTTATGTAATGTACGATGATTTTTAAGAAATGCAACACTATATGCCTTTATTTATATTTTAATTATGCTAAAAAGTGAATATAAATAAGAACTTACTCAATTGGAGTCTAGCCTAAAGTGCAATCACAATCAATAAACCTAAATTAACACAGTACATTAGATACTATTTTGGCCAAAACTCCTAAAAATTAATCAATCATCCGAGAGTAATACATCATGAGTAAACTATATAGGGGAATATAGTTAGACAGACACATCTTTAAAAGTCTAACATTGGGTTTTAATATATAGGGGAATATAGTTCGGGAGGAGGAGGGGTTAGGGACACCAGATAGTTTAAGTAGGCAACTGACAAAAAAGTGATAGCTTAGGCGGGTTTTAGGCTGAGTTAAATAGTCACGTGTAGTGCTACATGGCACGTTTTTTTAGATAATTAAGAGCGTGTACTAGACACACCTCTAAGAATGTAATGAGGGGTATTAATATGAAGGGGAATATAGTTCAGAGGAATTTTAGGGACACCAAATAGTTTAAGTAGGAAACTGGAAAAAAACATGATAGTTTAGGGCGATTTTAAGGTATTAACTCATTAGTTAATTACATTCTATAGCTATTAATTTTTTGCCATGAGATGTATGACGTTGTATTCAATTCGGTTGAATATACTGTATTGAATTCGGATGTACATTCTTATATATTTTACATTGTATAACTGTACTGAATTCAGTTGTATTCAAACAACAAAAAATTAAGAAATAGGGTGTATACCGTTATATTCAATTCGGCTGTATACATTGTATTCAATTCGGCTATATTTATTCTTAACTATTTTACATTGTATTCAATTTCACGATACTCAAAGAATAAAAAATCACATATAGTGATATTCGGCTGTATTCAATTCTTTGTATTCATTCGTAGTTGCATTTAAACTGTATTTGTCACGATCCAATTCCATTTTAGGCCGTGATGGCGCCCAACACCGTTGTTAGGCAAGCCAACACTGATCAACTAGTGATTTTCTGTTCTAAATAAATTAGTAAGTGATAGCTTTTCCTTATTTTATTTTTAAAAAAATAGAAGTTTGCAATTTTAGCATAAATAAATGAAAGAAATGTGTACGAATCGTAATCATGTAATCAAACCAAAATCATAAGTCTACCAGTGTGTGTGCCAAGACCTGGTGTCATAAGTATGTGGGCAATCTAGCAGAATATACAAAACAAATGCTATCCTACTGTCTGAAAGGAAATAGACAGAAAGTAAAAACATAAGAGAGACTCCAGCTGCTGCAGAACGGCTCAAGGGGCAGCTCACCGGGAAGTCTCAAGCTGGGGAATCAAGTCTACGCGCCGGTCTGGTGGCCAGATGCACCTGCCTCAAATCCTGTACAATCAAGTACAGAAGTGTAGCGTGAGTACATAAAAATATGTACCCAGTAAGTATCTAGTCTAACCTCGAAGAAGTAGTAACGAGGGATCGACTCCGACACTTACTAGGGCCAACAGTATAATAATGTGAAATTTCTAATTAAGCATAATGCATGGAGATAACAGTAAACTCAGAACAGGAAAAGAATAACTGAACAATTCTTCCATCATAGTTAAGAAACACAATAAAACACTTCCTTTATTTAGAACAAGCGATCTCTCAAACACAAATTTATACAAGTTATGGTTAGTTTCCAGTTCTATTATCACACACGAATACCACCGAGGACGTAAGGACCGATCCAACATAAATGTAAACTGTGCACTGCCGAGGGTGGAACGGCGCGAACCATAGATGCATCTATTCTCCCCACTCGCGAATCATGCATGCGACGCAGTCAAACATAAAGTTAAAGAATTTCTCCGCTCGCGAATCATACGTGCGACGCGTTCAAGTGTAAAGTTAATCATTTATGTCATAATCCTTCCTTGAATAGTTGAATCTATTAAAAATCAAGACAGTTTAACTTGAAGCCTTTAAACACTTAGAATCTTCAACTTAGTTCTTATCCAATACAATCAACAAATATGATCAGTTAACGGTGTCCACAAAGCATGGTGTAAGCCTAAAACTATCCGGACATAACAGGAATAGTGGCTACGTACGGTCTCTTGTCACTTCGTGCATATGTAGCCCCCACAATTAATCACATATAGATTAAGTTCACCAATGGGGAAATTTTCCTCTTACAAGGTTAGAAAAGAGACTTACCTCGCTTCAAGGCCTACTTCCGGTCCAAGCTTATGCCAAAACCCTCAATTGGTGCCGAACAATCCAAAACTATCGAAATAGTGTAAAAACTAATCAATATAGGCTTAAAATTTCATATCCCAACTATTAAAGTAATTTTCCAACTCTAATTGCAAGATTCCTAAAATTCATTCCCGGGCCCACGCGCCCGGATTCGGAAATTTTCGAAGAAAGTTGTTACGCATAACCTTAGGAACATAGATATATGATTTTCATTAAGTTCCATAACCATTTTCATGGTAAAACTCCATTTTTATCGAAAACCTAGGTTTTCCTCTAAACCCATAATTTTCACTAATTTACATGTTATAATCTACCTATAAACGATGTATTAAGCTCACATTAGGTAGAAATTACTTACCTCACAAAGCTAGGTCGAAATCCCCTCCTTAAGAGCTCTCAAATCGCCCAAGAGTGTAATAAATGACCCCAAAAATGCCTAAGTCCCAATTTTAAACTCACTGCCCAGCTGCCTCCTTCTTCGCGAACGCGAAGGAGGCCTCGCGTTCGGGAAGGTAAATGACTCAGGCCCCCTGAAGACCCTTGATCACGAACGCGGAGGAAGGCTTGGCCTACCCTTCGCAAATGCGAGGGTTGCTTCGCGAACGCGAAGAACAAAGCGGCCCCAACCTAGCCAACTACTCTACGCGAACGCGAGTCGCCTTGCGTGAACGCGAAAGTCACTGGCCCCAGATCTCCGCGAACGCGGACTAGATATCACGAACGCGTAGCACATTTTCCCCCCAGTCCCAACTCCTTCTATGTGAATGCGATGGTTCGATTCCGAGATCGTTTACTTGTTCTCAAAATCATTTTCTGAGATCATTTTCCCCCGATTCTGATTCCGAGATCATTTTCCCCCGATTCCGAGATCGTTTACTCAAAATGCTGACCGAAGTCAAACTTGCCCTTTTAAGCCAACCTTAAGGAACCAAGTGTTCCGATTTCAACCCGAACACTTCCAAATCCCAAACTAACCATCCCCGCAAGTCATAAATCAGTAAAAGCAAGTACGAGAAGTCTTATTTAGGGGAATGGGGTTCTAGAAAGCAAAACGACCGGTCGGGTCGTTACATTCTCCACCTCTTAAACAAACATTCATCCTCGAACGGGTATAGATTCATACCTGAAGTGTTGAATAAGTGTAGATATCTGCTCCGCATGTCCTCTTCGGACTCCCAGGTCGCCTCCTCGACTGGTTGGCCCCTCCACTGAACCTTTACCGCGAAAATCCTCTTGGACCTCAATTGGCGATCTAGTCTAGCAACAATAGCAACTGGCTCCTCCTCATAACCAAGCTCTCATCTAACTGAATAGTGCTGAAGTCTAACACATGTGACAAGTCGGCATGATATCTCCGGAGCATAGACACGTGAAAAACTGGATGAACCCCTGATAGGCTGGGAGGTAAATAAAGCTCATAAACAACCTCCCCAACTCGCCTCAACACCTCAAATGGGCCTATAAACCTTGGGCTCAACTTGACCTTCTTTCCGAATCTCATAATACCCTTCATCGGCGAGACTTTCAAGAGGACCTTCTCGCTGATGATAAATGATACATTGTGCGCCTTCCGATTCACATAATTCTTCTGTTTGGATTGTGCTGT